CCCTTAGCATTTTGAGATCTTACATTATAAATTCTTCACAAATATCTTTATTAATACACACACACACACACACACACACACACACACACACACACACACACGGATGAGTGATGTAAACTGGTTCCCAGACTTTGAAAGCTCATTTCTACATAAAAAAGAGATAAGGCACGTTTACTTATGAAGGACCTTACATTTCATGCTAAAAATCAGGTAGCTGTTAAGAATTTTAAATAGGGTATGATAAGAGCTGATTATATAGCAATAAAAATATTTTTAATAAGATTAGCACACCTGTATATAGCCACTTACTACAAGTGAGGCACCAGTCTAGGCATGGTCTGCACATCAGCTCCTTTCATCCTCTTCACAACCTAAGGTAGGCACAATGTATTTTCCATTTTACAGTAATCTTCTGATTACAATGACTAGCACATAATAAACATCGAATAAATGATAGTGGTTACTATTATAAACCTTTTTAATAATGTTGTATGTAAGAAAAATAAGACCACTTTGACATTCAGAATACTTTAGGCTTGAATCAAACTTTGCCCCTTATTAGTTGTGTTTCTTAAAGCAAAGTAATCCAACATTTTATATTACAGTTTTCTTATTTATAAAATGAGGATAATGCATGTCTAACAGGGTTTATATAAAGATTAAAAATGCAAGTCAGATCATGTATATGAAGTGCTTAGCATGGTGCCTGATCCATTGGGAGACTTCAGTGAATGCTATTAATCATGTCAATCAGACGACCATGTCAGTCATCTCTTAAAGGGGGTTCCCTAGAAGCTACAAGTCATGAAACTACCCTATAGTCAGGTAGGAGGTGAACATACATCACTTACATTATTTTTTTCTGCTCATGACATCTCTTAACTGTTTCATAATATCTAAATAATATCTAAACAAAATAATATAAAAATGTAATGCAGGAAAGCCTCATCTTTCAATACCCAATAATCTTCTCTGACCTCTTTCCTCACCCCAATAAAATGAAGGAGCCCACTATTTACCCTTGCCACCTTCTTTCCCCACATCCACACTTCCTGCTCTATCTTGCTTATATCTTCATTTGCCTGTCAAGATGCTCAGGTTCTAGAAAACAAAGAGAAAGTCATGGTTCTTTTATTACCCATTAAAGACACAATACCAAAATATCATAACTATACAAAATAAATGGTTGGCCAGGGAAGAGTAAATGTTATTAATGCAATGGATTTTCCTAATTCAGATTATATTTATTAAGAAAATTATCAAAAGTATAATACTATCTTCCTTTTGTGATTCAACCAATTAATTATGTAAGTTTGTGGTTAATCAAATACATTTTCTTATATTTGGAAATTCTTTTTGGTATTCCTATAAATATATGGTTTCGTTATACAAGTATCATTATACTTGTGAAAAAATAAGTATGTCAGAGACTTCTGGTCTGTGCAACATCTCTTCTTTCCTCTTCTTAGGCACCGAGCTGGCCTATAACCATCAGCCTCCCTTATAGTTAGGTGTGGCCATTTGAATGAATTCTGGTGAATAGAATATAAATGAAAGTGACAGGTACTATTTATAGGCAAAGCTCATACTCTATTATGCTCTATTCAACTCCCTACCTGGATAAATACAGACAGCTGGGAAGCCCTATGGGTGGTGAAGCCTTTAGATGAAAGAAGCCTGGGCCCCTGAATGGTGGGAGAAGCCACACCATAAACCTAAACACTAAACCTGGTTTCTGACTATAGCATTAAATAATCTTTTATTGTCCTGAGTCATTACATGGTTTTGTATATTTAAAGGAGCTGACCTATTATAACTAATATCATAAAAATGATAAAAATTAATATTAAATAATAGGTTGAATATCTTGAAATGCTAGCATTTGCAAATTTTATCTGACCTGTTTCATAGTAGTCATTAATGAAAAAAGAGAGGACTTCACCTGCAGTTGTCTGTCAAATGTTAACTTATATACTTAGATCCTTAGTGCTTGAAAATAAGTAAGTGGGAATAAAATTTAAGTTAAAATTAGAATGTAAATAAAGTTTTCATTTTCCTTCTGAAATCATTACCTCAATATCTTTCCTTCTCTCAAAATAGATCTATAATTCATTAGATATGTTCTATGATATATTTTGGCTTTTAAAAATGATGCTTAGTTAGACAGCAGGATTCAACAGTTAAGAGAACAGGCTTTGGAAATAAAACTCCTGGTTCTGTAATGAAGTGGCTATGTGATTTGGCAAATTACTTTTCCTCTCTATGCCTTATTTTCCTCATCCCTATGAGAGGATAATAATGGTACCTACTTCCTAGAGTGTAAATTAATATTTATAAAATGTTTGAAAAAAATTCAACTCATAGTTATCACTATATGTGTACAAGAGCCTGTGTATGATTAAAGGTTATCTAATTTATTCTTTAAAAAGAAATTGAACTTTGTTTTACTAAAATGGAAAATAAAAATCTAAGATGTTTTTAAGCTTGACTTGTTTTTATACCTAATTGCCTATGATTTCTTTCTCTGCTCCTCAATTAGACTCTCAGAAATGACTCAGTCAACCTATGCTTACATACTTGCCCAACATCCTGTCTTTCTTTAGTGACCTTCCTTCTCTTTCTCTAACCAATACTTACTTACCTGTGCTACATTGGCCAATTTGGATCTATTAATTTTCCAGGGCTCTCCTAGCAAACGAGCACAAAGGTGGTGGCTCAAAACAACATGAATGTATTTCCTCACAGTTCTGGAGGCTAGAAGTCTGAAATCAAAGTGTTTGAAAGCCAATCTTCCTCTGAAGGGTCTTTGGAAGAATCCTTCCTTGTCTCTTACCAGCTTCTACTGGTTGCCAGCTATCTTTTCATCTGTCTGTGCATAGCCTTCTCCTCTGTGTCTCCTTGTCCAAATTTCCCATAAGTATAAGGACACCAGTCATTGGATTGGGACCCAGGTAATCCACTCTGACCACATCTTAACTTGATTGCTTCAGCAAAGATCCTATTTTCAAATAAAGTTACATTCACAGACATGGAATTAGGTTTTAAACATATCTTTTTGGGAGATAAAATTTAATAAACAACAGGATTTTATGGACCTAAAAATATTCTCTTTCTCCTCCAGCCCACCATGATCACTTCAGAGAAACATTTATTTTCTATTTCATTTATTTGACAGACTAGAGGCCTAGTGCATGAAATTCTTGCACAAGTAGGGTCCCTAGGCCTGGCCGGAGGTCAGGGCTGATCGGGGCCTTCCTGGCTGCCGGCCGGGGCATCCCTTCCCTGGCTGCTGGCTGCCGGCTGGGGCCTTCCTTCATTCTGCACCGCCCTCGGTCGTCAGCACACATCATAGTGAGCGATCCAACTCCTGGTCTCCCAGTCAAACTCCCAAGGGGATAATTTGCATATTAGGCTTTTATATATATAGAAAATATAAATCCACTTTCTGACTTTACAAAGGAATTATTAACCTATATATTTTCTGGCAAATCCTATATAATAAAAGGCTAATATGCAAATTGTCCCCTCAACCAGGAGTTCGATCAGGGGGCAGGGCCGGCCAGCCAACCTCCCGGGGCCCCTCCCTGTGACCGGCCAGCCCTTATTGGCCCCAATCAGGGTGGGCTGGCTAGACCCCACCTGTGCACGAATTCATGCACCAGGCCTCTAGTTATGTTATAAGCACCTAAGGGTTGTCAAAAATGACAGTATTTCATCTTTTTTATGGCTGAGTAGTATTTTATTGTGTATTTATACCATATCTTTATCCAATCATCCATGGAAGGATACTTTAGCTGTTCTTTGCCACTGTGAATGATGATTTCACTCATATGTGAGATATAGAACTGAAAGCAACAAATGAACAAACAAGACAGACCAACAAAAACTCATAGGTACAGACAGTAGTACAGTGGTTAACAAAGGAAAATGGACAGAGGGAGGTAGTAAAGGGTAAAGGGGGCCAAACATATGGTGACAAAAGGAGATTTTATTTTGGGTGGTAAAAGCACAATATAATATGCAGATTATGTATTATAAAATTATACAGGTAAAAACCTATATAATTATATCAATGTCACCCCAAGAAATTTATTAAATTATTTAAAAAGAAAAACATTAATCCAAAACGAAAAAAAAAAAATCTAAGGGTAAGGACCATGGGCTATGATACAGTTTATTGTTGTTGTTGTTGTTGTTGTTTTTTAAAATATATTTTATTGATTTTTTTACAGAGAGGAAGTGAGAGGGATAGAGAGTTAGAAACATCAATGAGAGAAACATTGATCAGCTGCCTCTTGCACACCCCCTACTGGGGATGTGCCCACAACCAGCAACCAAGGAACATGCCCTTGACCGGATTCGAACCTGGGATCCTTCAGTCCGCAGGCCGCTGCTCTATCTACTGAGCCAAACCAGTTAGGGTTATGACACAGTTTTGCATGCATTTGTATACTTTTCTATAGGACAATATGATGCATATAGTAATTAATGCATTAATGAGTAAATGAAGGAATATAGAGCTAGTAATTAAAAATTATTGTAGTAATTAATGCATTAATGAGTAAATGAAGGAATATAGTAATTAAAAATTATTGTAAGAGAGCAAGTGATAAAAATAAATGTACATGATTAGAACATGTCATTTTTAACTTATGGAATTCTTTTGATTGATTGTAAGTATTATAAATTCACAAATTGACATTATTATAATTAAATTACATATAAAATATGAAAATATTCCAATATAGATTCAACAGCTATATTCACTACTTTTGAAGTAAGAGATTCTATTTTGTTTTGCAACTGCAAACAAGCTTTTACGTTATAAACAAGAATAACACAAGTATGGAATGTGAATTCTCTAGTACTAACTTTTCTTAGCAAAAAACATTGTATTGCTTTAAACTATTTAACAGTCAAAATCCCCAATGACTAATGGAAAATAGTAGGAATTCATCTCAATTGTATAAAAATAATGTTTTAAATTTATATTTGCACAGATGATAATGAGTGTGGAAATTTAACCCAGTCCTGCGGTGAAAATGCTAATTGCACTAACACAGAGGGAAGTTACTATTGCATGTGTGCACCTGGTTTTCGATCCAGCAGTAACCAAGTCAGATTTATCACTAATGATGGAACCAAATGCATAGGTAAGTCAACTGTCTCACTTAAACTTTTACCTATCTCTTAATGCTTAGTACCTCCATAGATGAAATAATTTTTAAACAAATTCTGCCAGTCCTTGTTTATATTCTAGTTGTTAAATGCTTTCAGAAACTTCATTAATTTCTTTATTTATCCAATGTTATTTGATCAGTTACTATGGAATATTCGAGAATATAAGAAAAGGATTTTTTTGAGACAAATCAAATAGTTTACAAAACAAAACTCATGAACTATGGTGACAAACAACAGAATAACTACTTGCATTTTAAAGTCCTAACTCAAGAAAATAATGATTTGCATCACAAGATACCAATGCTTTTATAAATATGCTGAAAAGGGGTCTACATTTTCTTAGAATATGTTCAAATAGAAATTACTTATGAGACTTGTTCTAGTGTTTTACTACTTCCTTCAAAAAGTTACTTACACTTAAGATTTCTAGTAAGGTTTTCTGAACACTAGAGTCTTATTTAGAAAAGCATTTCCATTTCACTAAAATGTCCTCTGGGAGGATAATAATTTCAATTCAATCCCTAAATGAAATATAATACTGAGTCTGAAGAGAGTATCTAGAAGATGTTTTTAAATGTCCTATTGTAACTTGGTTATGCATTGGATTTATCATATCCTATAGAGTTTGGATTATAGTCTGAGAAGAAAAGATTGTTTAGAAACTTCAAAAGATGAACAGTTCCACAGGAAAATTCTCTGAAGTGAAAGACTTGAACTTTGAAAATAAATTATAAATCATCTTACTCATGTTTTCTAAAAAGTGTCCAGTTTACCAACAACTTGTATAATTAATTATGATTGATAATTGTCTGTAAGATTAATAGGTGAATTGAGGCCCTAAGAGTTAAATCACATAGCCAGGGGTATATAAATATAGGACTAGAACTCAGGACTTTCTATGCATCACAGACAGGAATAGTGTGCTGCTTCTACTTTACATAATTAAAAGAAAGAGATTCTAGAGGTTAATCTAGATCGCACTAAGGCCTTTGATTAGGTCCTTAGTGAGATTCTCATCAGTAAACTAAGTAGAATTCTGGCAGTGTTATTATTAACAACATGATGAACTAGGAGATAATATTCAAAGAAAATTTATCAGTGAAATGTCTTTATCAAAGAAATTATGATATCTCATGTACTTGCGGTTCATAACATTTACTTTGCTATGTAAACAGGAAAGATTTTATTCTCCTCATTTTATAGCCAAGGGAAGTACAGGACTACACTCAATTCATTTATGATAAAGGGAGAATTAGATCACAGTCTTGTATCTAGAAAGCCATTGTTATTTCAACATGAGACTGAAGTGGGTGGGCCATTAAATTCTCATACATTGATGTGAATCACGCAAATGCAGTGGGTCAAGCTTTGCAAGGGCATAAAGGGCATAAGGGATTTAAAATATGAGAAAATAATACTATTTTGTTGAATGATAATTTTATCTTTAGTGTTTGTAGCATTTTTTATTGGAATGTAGATTTACTTTTATTAAGGAAATAGGATAAACATGAAGTTCTAAGCAGAAAACTTACAGTACCTCACTCTTTGTTCTTCTTGAGCCTACACTCTTGTTGCTAGTCTTCTTATAATGTTATTTAATGTGAGTATTTTACCTTTAGTAGCTAAGTTCTAATTTTGTAGGTCTGTAAGCTTTACTATAAATGTTCCAGTAAGTGAAAAAAATCTAACTTGTGACATCTTAATCACGGTATTTAATACAGTTTTAATTGTGCTCTTCATTCCTTCTCATCTTTAGAAGACATCTTGCATTTTCATCTGATCATGTTTATTTTAATATGCATCAGTTCACAAAGGGTTCTATATCTCTGTGTTCTTTATAAGTATAGAATTTCTATATTAGGGGAAAAAAGTGAATCACAGATACAGAGAAAACACACACACACACAAATTATTTAATGCCAACATCTTTTGGGGGTATAATACATTTGTAATTTAAAACTATTTCTCCTGCCCTAGATGGTTTTGCTCAGTGGATAGAGCATCGGCTTGAGGACTGAAGGGTCTAGGGTTCCATTCCAGTCAAAGGCACATGACAAGGTTGCAAGCTTGATCCCCAGTAGGGGGTGTGCAGGAGGCAGCCAATGGATGATTCTCTCTCATAATTGATGTTTCTCTCTCTCTCTCTCTTTCTTCCTCCCTGAAATCAATATATATATCTTTCTCCCAATGTTTGTTTATTATTGAGATACTGTGGAATGGCCCTAATTTTTGTTAATTTCCTTTTTTGCTATTATAAGTAATCAGTAAACACAACAATACCCAGTAAAACCCAATACCCAGTACTGAGTCCTTCAGTTTCTACTTGTTTTGTTTGACGGATTGTTCAGTAAAAAACTCCTTCTCTGGAAAATTGTTATTTCTCACCAATCTTGTTGTCCTTAAGGATTAAACTTCTTTTTTGAGAAGCAGAGCATCTATTTCTTTTTTCCAGTCCTGTAGTAAAATCCTCAGGGAATTTGAACAGAGAACCATAATTCTATTCCTTTTATACATTAGTATATCACCTTGTACTATGTTGCCTCTAATTTGAAAGTTTAGCTGATAGTTAAATTTGACATGTCTGATAATTATAGTCATTAAGAATCTCTATAAATAGATAATAAAAAACTGCAATTCAGGGCAAAAATGACCCAAGCAAAATTCCTTACTTTTAGTCTATATTTAAATACTATTTAACACAGATAAGGTGATTTTGTTACAGAATGCTTTGAGCAAGATTTAGCATCATGCAGGATTTTCTTCACCTTGGAATCACAGTAAAGCAAAAGTTAATTTGCCCAGCTTCCCAGAGACCTGGTACAGGCTTGCATTTCACAAATGCAGAAACTGTGGCAATCAATAGTAAAGTGACTCTCCCAATACCAAATGAGTAGAATCTAAGAATGCCTTCATGTTTACTATTGTGCTTAAGAGCTGTGTTTACTGCTTGTAATTTTTATGTCCTATTTTCATGGATAATCTTATAGTTTCAGATTTTTTTCTCGTTTTGAATAATATTAACATCCAGTTTTGTGTCTGCAGGTTACTCCTAGTAATTGAACATTGTATCTTTTCTTTGAAGTCTGTGAGTTAAACAACTTTAGAAAATTCAGCTATTGATGAAAATTATAAGAATCAAAATAATTAAATGATCATGTTTTGAAAAGGAAATTCTGATAATATACTGGGTTGGATTATTGTAGACATAAAAAAACAAATATAACCTTATTACTGAAAAAGTAACAAATGAATTTTTGATGTGCAAAACAAGCACATGATTTTTATGATGTGCCTACATTTAGAGAAATCGAGTTTGCATTAATAAGCCAAGAGTTAGGTTGGTAGTGGAAAAAGTGGATCAATTCTTAAATATGGTATGTCAATTCTAGTCCAATTGAAATAATTACATAGTACAATTTTGCTTTAATTAAGAAGGAGAGGGAGTTCTTTTTCTCTCTTTTATAGCTTTGGGAAGTTCCAAGACAGAGCAACCTAATGAGACACTCATTATCAATCTATTTTCTCCAAACTGGCATGTTCACAGGGCTCTTAATATTAGAAAAAAAAACCATAATGGAACTCTGGACCTGATTTCTAATTACATATTTACTACAACTTCGACTCTACTCCAAACACCTTCACATACATTTCCTCATTTGTTATGAAAAATAACTATTTGGAGATAAAAGGTATTTTTATAGTATTACCCAGGGTCCCAAAATTAATGAATAACATAGATTTAGGGGGAATCCATTGTTGTTTTAGTAGGTCCAAGCCAATTATGCCCTGCAAGAAATTGCAAGAGAAGTTAGTGTGGATCTCGCTGCAAATTGGCAGTCATATTCATTTTGGCTGATCTAGTTTCATCCTATTTGAACATGGGATAGTCTTTCAATATTTTATGATTCTCTCTATATTGCTAGGTAACAAAGGCATATAGAATGATAAGCTGAGGGTAGTGGAAGCACCTAGCCAGTTGTGGTAGCCACACACTCCATTACTAGGTTAAACTCAATAAACTACTGCTGAGGCCCTGAGTAAAAAGGATATCAAATTCAGCAAACCTCACATCCACATTTTACATAAAAGTAATGGGAAAAAATATAAACAAGAAAAGTATATATAAAGAGTTTGGAAAACATTACTTAGAAGGGATGATTAGGGTTTGGAAAACATTACTTTGGTGAGATATTTAATATTCTTTTATAACATTTGGAATCTATAATAAAAGGGTAATATGCTAATTAGACCAGACATCCTTCCAGTCGTCCTTCTAGACCAGCAGTTCTCAACCTGTGGGTCGCGACCCCTTTGGGGGTCGAACGACCCTTTCACAGGGGTCGCCTGAGACCATCGGAAAACACATATATAATTACATATTGTTTTTGTGATTAATCACTATGCTTTAATTATGTTCAATTTGTAACAATGAAAATATATCCTGCATATCAGATATTTACATTACGATTCATAACAGTAGCAAAATTACAGTTACGAAGTAGCAACAAAAATAATTTTATGGTTGGGGGTCACCGCAACATGAGGAACTGTATTAAAGGGTCGCGGCATTAGGAAGGTTGAGAACCACTGTTCTAGACAAAGCCGGGGCTGGAAGGAAGCCAGCCCTGGTCCCAGGTGCCTGCGGAAAGCCAGTGCCGGGTAGCCAGGGGAAGGAAATCCTACTCTTGCACAAATTTTGTGCATCGGGCCTCTAGTCAGAATATAAACATTTGCATAATCCTAATTTTGAATACTAGTCTCCCAGGATACTACCTCATGATTTTTACAGACTACCATTTTGTGAATTGGTGAATTCAGAAGTTGAAATACCTTCTTTGGTCAAAGGCTGACATTCTGAGATACCACGTAGCTGATACCACTTGGTGGTGCGAGGGCTTGAACTAGAGCAGAGCACCAACATAAGCATCCCAGGCTGAGGAGGATGCACAGGGGAGAGCTGAAGCACAATCAGTTATGAGCAGGATTGTGTACACCTGTGCCCAAAGTACAAGAGTGCAGATAAAAATTGAGTTTGTACAGCCAAGATTTGTATGTTGCTCAGAGATTGGATGTGGGATGAAGTTCCCAAGGTATGTTGCACCTTTAAATAATTTTGAAATTGAGAGAATCAACACCATGATTACTGTTAATCCATAAAAGGCATCTAAAAGTATGAAACTTGGGTAATCAAAAACATAGCTTTCTGCCTGGTCTGAGTGGCTCAGTTGGTTGAGTGTCATCCCATGCACCTAGAGGTCTTTGTTCAATTCCCCGTCAGGGCACATGCCCTAGTTTTGGGCTTGATCCCCAGTATGGGGCACACAGGAGGCCGCTAGTCTATGTACCTTTCTCGTTGATGTTTGTATCTCCCTTTCCCTTGCTTGCTCTCTAACACTCAATTTTTAAAAAATCTTATAAACAAAACAAAACATAGCTTTTCTTATCCATGGAAGAAATCGTTCTGTTCATGATACTTCATGGATGTGTTCACACTTTCTTTGGAGTGTTTTCCCCACTTGATTACAGTTAATGCTACTTCTTCAACACTGTTCCAAAAAGGACTAGTCTTTTGTTTTCTCATACTTTTTTATCACTTCGTTGATTTCATGAAAAAATAATAACCCTAGTATGTGCTCCTACCTGGGTCCTTCTCTTCAGCTCAACCTGGGATGCTTTCCCTGATGGTTCTACATATTCCAAGAGTCAACCTGCTCTTACTCCCCTCCACTTTAGTTTGTCTCCCCCCACTCCTTTTTTTGAGTGGCAGTTTATGGACACATATATAGAAATTAGAGAAAGTGGGTGAGGATGCTAGAGCAGTCCTGTTTCTTTAAAAGTAATGTACTTGGATTTCTGGATAGTACAGATCATGAATGCACAGACTTGGCAGAAGAACATGGGATTTTCTACCTTTTTTCGGGCCTAATTGTCTTCTTAAATCTAGTACCATCACTTTTATAGCTAATAGAGTTTTCTTCAAGAATCTGGCAAGACATCTATTATTAGTTTCAGTTTTGTGTGGTGTGAGTTTTAATGTTTTTCTGTAGCTTTATTGCATTTTTAAAGTGAAAAATTAGTATCAGCTACATTTAAGATAACTAACTAAATGACATTTTAATGAACTTCAATTACTTTCCTTTGTTATGACAAACAGTATTATGCCACTCTATTAGTTTTATTTAATAAAATTGTATACTTAAGAGTACAGATTTATTCATTAATCTAACAGAGTAGTTCTAAGATGTCAGAGCTAGGCTGGAAACACAAAAAAATCTTTGCATTAGTTTAAGGTAACAATCTGGACTTCAGTTCCTTGGAATCATTCTCTATTGGAACTATGCCTACTGGCAGAGCATTTATACTGCATTTATTACTTTAAGACTTATTTCACTATAGTATGTAAAATTTTTAAAATTAGGAATATAAATTATGTGAGCATAAAACCTATCATTTTTCTTGTGGCTTTGATATATAGCTACTGAAAAATCAAACACTTAATTATGTACAATTTGTTACTTTATCTACATTGGGTATGTATTAAGAATCATAATATAATATAACCTGAACAAAAAAATAACATTTGAAGTAAAATTTTAAGGGAGTTGAATCACACATTTGCTACATCTTAATTTTTAGGGTAATTTGCATGCAAAAATGGAGCCTTGGAAAGAAAATGGGCTATTCTTTTTTATCCTCCAGAGTTATTTAAGCTGAGTTGTTATAATTAATTAAGTTTAATATTAGAAAGCTAAGTATTTTAAAAATTGGGTTTTTATTAAATTAGGACTAAATATTACATAGTCAATGATGAAATTAATGACTTTGTTGATGAATCATGCCATTCAGAAAACAGTTCAAGAGTTTGGCCCATGAATAACATTTTCAGTACACTGTCAAAATACATTGGCTAAATCAAGGTTAAACAAATATATGAGGCTAAGGTAGCTTTGTCATTTTTCTAAATGATGGGATTTTCCTTGCATTTTTATACAATTTGCTATGACTAAATAGACATAATATCAGCAATGTAGCATCTATATGAGTACTAAATTAAAAAGTTGTGTTTTTTTTTCAAATATTTCCAGATATAGATGAATGCAGTGAATCAGTTGCCTGTGGTGATCATGCAGTATGTGAAAATGTGGATGGTGGGTATAACTGCTCCTGCAAGGAAGGTTATCAGACATCCACAGGAAAAGCACAGTTCACACCTAATGATGGCACTTACTGCCAAGGTAAATTATCAAATAACTATGTAAAATATGTACTACACAGTTGTAAAGTGTCAAAGAGCTATACCTTCCAAGAAATGTTACAGTATTCTTTACTTGCTTATAAAGTGAAATTAAAAAAAAAATTTAAAAAAATATATGTAAAATTTTCTTTATAGAAGATGTAGACCACATGTTTGATATAGTTAAATACATCATATTCCTTAGGGTGACTAAAATCTTCCATTTTTAATAAAATAGTGTGTATTTATGAATAAAAATGAATAATTTTTAAATTAATGAATAATGAAAAATAATTGAATTTTAATGAATGAAAATTGAAAATGACACTTGGGTTAAGAATATGTTTTTAATGTTTAAATAAGTAAGCAAAATTATTGTAATCGATATAATCATCTTAGGAAAAATATTTTAAAACTTACTATATGATCCATTTTCTTCTACAGAAAATGTGAATGCAGACTGCTATTTAGATAATGCCTGTATTGCTGCAAATGTTGATAAAATTTTAACAAAAGTAAGTAGACTAGTTGAATTAAAATTTTATTTTTATATTTTGATTTTAGTTAAAATGTTTTCAGTGTCACATTGTAAAAAGTGTAACAAGCAATTGATTTTCATGAAGAGTTGAAACTATTTACATATAGAGATCTAAGAATTTTGAGTCACAGGTAGGATTAATTTGAAAATCACCAAAGTTTTGAAGAAGACTTTCACATATCTAGCTTATGCTACTTTTCACAATTCAATATAGTGAAAAATTCTTTTCAATATGTAAAGAAAGTTGATAAACAAGATAGAAAAAACATACTTTGATGTCAGGCCCATTCCCACATTCTAAGGAGTTATAAATGAATGAATCTAAATTTTGCTCCCTTTAGCAAATATTTCAAAAAGTAGGGCATCTATAAAATTTTTATCATGTGATTGAAAGTGTGAGTCTCAACAAGACTAATTAACAATCAGCTAAAGCAATTTCCATTTTATCACGTTGTAAAGAATTTTCTGTGGTTGATTACAATCTAATTCAAATTAAGTTTATAAGTATTATAACTTTAAAAAGATTATTTAAAAAATTACCAATTCAAACATGCTGTTCCTTTTCTGAAGTAATTTTTATGTTTTTTAAGTTATTTGGAAAGCTTTTCTAAATAATTTTGTGTTGAAGTGCTGCATGTTATAATTTGGGTTTAATCTGGTAACTTATTAATATATAGGACAAGAAAACCAAATTCAGAATAAATTTAACATGTAACCTTTATTCTTGAAAAGATCCAATAGTACTCTAATCTGGTTTCATTTTTTGGAACTTATTTTTGTTCAGATTAGAAACATAGGCCAACTTGTGGCTTTACTACAAGATGTCTATAGGAATTCTGTGAAACATCTTTCACCAATGGATATAACTACATACATAGAAATATTAGCAGAATCATCACCATTCCTTGGTTACATGAACAGCACTATCTCGGACAAGGGCGGCCTTTCTAATTCAACTCTTGCTGTAAGTATGCTGAACTTTAACTCAATATTATTGAGCTTCAAAATTCCCCTTACATCTATGATTAATGAAAAATTCCAACATTTTTAAAAGATACACATTTTTCAACAGGAATTTGTGAAAACTGTGAATAATTTTGTTCAAAAGGATACATTTATAGTCTGGGACAAGTTACCTGCGACTCATAGAATAACTCATCTTACAAAGTTGATGCATGCTGTCGAACAAGCTACCTTACAGATTTCTCAAAACTTCCAAAAGACCACTCAGTTTGATACTAATTCAAGTGATGTAGGTAAGAAGCCAAGGTCAACTTCAAAGCAATGGTATTTTCCAAGCAAGCCATTCTCAAAAGGAAGGAGAATATTTAAAACTAGAGGTCCAGTGCACGAATTCATGCATGGGTGGGGTCCTCGGCCTAGCCGGTGATCAGGGCCATTTGGGGCCGTCTCACCCAGTCCTGATTGGGGCTGATGGGGGTTGGCCAGCCAGGGAGGGACGGCGGGAGGTTGGCTGGTTGGCCCCAATCGGGGCCGATGGGGGTGGGGGACCACCGGCTGGGGAAGGACCACAAGAGGGCTCCAGGGCTTATCTGGCCCTTTCACCCAGTCCTGATCCACTGGACCCCAGCAGCAAGCTAACCTACCAATTTGAGCATCAGCCCCCTGGTGGTCAGTGTGCGTCATAGTGACTGGTTGAGCGGTTGACCGAACTGTCAACCAATTGGTCAGACACTTAGCATATTACACTTTTATTATATAGAATACTGTTGATTAAATAGGCATTTTGTTCATATCAATGTAAAAAGAAATAGTGATGCATAGTACAAGAGTGACATGAATAAAGGATCACTAAAAAGGGATGAATACATGAGCACTTCCTTATTCCTACAATCTCCACCTTTTCCTATTCCTGAACTGTTGAGCATTTAAATGCACAAAGCATATTACTCCCTTGCCATTCTGAGTTAGTCATCTCATGACTTGTTAGGATCTACCTTGACCAGTGATAGTAACAGAGAGATTCTCTGGATATAGTATTTTTAAATTTCTTTTTAGGAATCTTTGTCTTTTGATAACTTAAAGCAATTAATATAGTATATTAGAATGTTTCCTGCTTCATGCAGTCTTATACTTAAAACATTAGGAATCTTGGATCAAATTGAAGATGCTGATTATGTAGTTCAGAGGAAACAGAGTACATCTCTACCATATATTGTGGGTGACATCCTGCTGTGCAACAGTAGATATGCAACAAAAATCATTATCTCATCAGGGTTCATCATTTACTCAAAATTAAAGTAGCAAGCATTGTGACTAACATATAGGAGCAAACATTTCTATGATGATCCTGCATGAAAAAGGTGAAAATACACCCGTTAAGAAAAGTACCCTACAGGAATTTAATTAGATCCTCTCCATATTGTATATTATAATACCATCCTCTAGGACATTATAATTCTTATTCTTTGCTTTGATAATTATGATATATAGCCTCCCTGTGTTCATACATGTTTTATCTTTTATTTTTTATTTAATAAAGGTATATATAAACTATGAGCATTATAGTAAATTAAAAAAATAACCTTGAATCAGATAAATTATAATGTTCAAACATGTTCAAAACAGGTTCATTCTATCTGTCATAAATAAGAAGTTGAAATAACAATGGCTGAAATTGTCTATTAACTAAATAAATATTGATTAAACTAATTTTAGGAAATTTATGATTTTCATGCTTTTGTTTCAGCTCTCAAAGCTTTCTTTTTTGATTCACATCACATGAAACATATTCATCCCAATATGAATGTGGATGGAGATTACATAAAGATATTTCCAAAGAGAAAAGCTGCAGATGATACAGACGGTAGGACTTTGACAATCATATACATAATGTCAGTGATTTGCAATAAATACTTATCAAGGATTTGATTATATCACATGTACATATAATATGTGTGGTTTTCTATAAGCATTTGATGTTTAAAAACAGAATTTCCATATTTGTACTTGAGATTTTCATTTGGATATAAATACCTGGGAAGAATTTTACCTGACAATATCTGCACCCTTCTTGTCTTACCTCCAACTTCTGTAACTTTCTGATATTGAGATGCTAATGAAAATATTTTAAAAATGTGGTTTTATTACTTGGTTTGCAGCAGTCGATAAATGTTATGATTTGCATACAGTTTTTAATTTTTCTTCAGTAATGCTTCATATTTCTCATTGTGAGACTCAATTTGTGATTGTGTAAGGAAGGCAAATAATGTTCAAAAAGACAGAAAGTTATTTAAACTTGGACTTTTTTTTCCACTTATCATTGCTTAGTCTTCAACTGAACTAAAGGCACTATTTCTTAAGGAATGGAATCACAGAATGCTAGACTAGAAGGTAACAGTAATTATCTAAACTAAATCCTTAATTCCCACTACAGTTAATGAATTTGTCTCTAACCATATCAACAGATAGTACAAAACCAGCAGTAGAATGGAGGGAGTTGAATAATTCAGTCATGGCCAGCTTTTCCTTGCCCCCTAATCACAGACAATCTATCAGCTGCTATTTTAATTTAACCATTTATCTGCTCTCTAAGTGCAATGCACTTAGAAAAAAATATCTGCCAATAGCAGAACAGTTGTGGTTGTTCTTCAAAATATATTACCTAGGGAAAACATGAACTATAATATTTTCTCAAGAATCTATGGGTGGTCATAAATACATATGAAAAATATATACAATAACACATTTGTTCTCTGTTATAACCATACTACATAATAAAAGCGTAATATGCAAATTGAACCTAACAGCAGAACAACCAGTCACAATGATGTGCACTGACCACCAGGGAGCAGATGCTCAATGCAGGAGCTGCCCCCTGGTGGTCAGTGGGCTCCCACAGGGGGAGCTCTGCTCAGCCACAAGCCAGGCTGACTGCTGCATGCAGCAGTGGTGGCGGGAGCCTCTCCCACCTCTCCCGCCACCTCGGCAGAGCTAAGGATGTCCAACTGATGGCTTAGGCCCACTCCCTGCGGGCGTAAGCAGTCAGTCAGACATCCTACGAGGGCTCCCAGGCTGCCAGAGGGATGTCTGACTGCCAGTTTAGGCCCACTCCCTTGGGGAGTGGGCCTAAGCTGGCAGGTGAACATACCCTGAGGGTTCCCAGACTTAAGGGAGAGCACAGGCCGGGCTGAGGGACACTCCTCCCTGCCCCCCTGCCCCCAGAGTGCATGAATCTTGTGCACTGGGCCTCTAGTAGATTATAAAAATACATCTTATATTTTATATTTTTTGGTGCTACATTGGATTTTGGACCATGTCCTACTACAACTACTCACTGTTGCATGAACTGGTTTATTAACTGGTCTAGATCAAGTTGACCTAAAAGGTTTTCAAGTCCCACTTCCGGCCCTAGTCTATCCATCAAAAAACCTGGATTAGTTGCCATCTCTTTGAGTTATTATAATTTCAGTAGCCCAATCATGTTTTACTAACATTATTTCTTTTTTGATATACTTTTTCTAGGCTAGCAGTTCAAGAAAATATGTAATGTGTCTGAATTTCAGCAAGGTTATCAATGTCTCTTATGATACTTTTATGTTAATATAAAAAATATCAATAGCAATATACTTGGGCAGCTTCAAGCTCACATAACCATATCCAAAGAGTATTATTTAATAGTACTAGAGGCCTGGTGCACGAAATTTGTGCACTGGGATGGTGGGGGGTGTCCCTCAGCCCAGCCTGCACCCTCTCCAATCTGGGACCCCTCGGACATCCCTCTTCCAATCCGGGACTGCTGGATCCCAACCAGTTGCCTGCCTGCCTGCCTGATTACCCCTAACCGCTTCTGCCTGCCAGCCTGATCACCCCCTAACTGCTCCCCTGCCAGCCTGAT